CCAAATTCAAAAGCCAATTCTAACATAGTAAGATCTCACATTTTTTTCTCCTATCCGATATTACACCCATTCTGTAAAGTTTCAGAGAGTCACAGCCAATTCCAGAGTTAAATATGCCTTCTGGACCAGTTCCTGCTAGATTATCTCAGCTCTGCCACTTTAGAGCAAGAGAGTCTAGGCCTGTTACTGAAATTCTTTGTGCCTCGGATTCCCTGTGTATAAAAGGCACATGATAAAACTTAACTTACCTATTTGTTATGATTAAATGGTACAGTACACGATTCCTTTGCTAAACATGAAGTACTATTTAAAGGTGTGGAATCATGCTATCCTATAATAAGAACAAAAAAGTAATTGCTCAATAGAGTCAATACAGTCTCTTCAACAAATGGTGTTGGGAAAATTGGACAGGTACATGCAAAAAAATGAAGGAAGACAGGAAACCATAAAAATATTAGAGGAATCCACAGGCAGCAAAATCTCAGACATATGTCGTAGCAATATCTTTACTGATATAGCTCCTAGGGCAATGGAAACTAAAGGAAAATAAACAAATGGGACTATATCAAAATAAAAAAAAACTTCTGTACATGCAACCCCTATGTTCATAGCAAAACTATTCACATTTGTTAAGGTCTGAAAACAACCCACGTGCCCATCAGCAGATGAGTGGATAAAAAATCTGTGGTACATTTACACAATGGAAATACTATGCACTGTAAAAAGGAAAGAACTCTTACCCTTTGCAACAGCATAGATGGACATGGAGAGCATTATGCTAAGTGAAATAAGCCAGTTGGAGAAAGATAAATATCACATGACCTCACTCATTTGTAGAATATAATGAACACCATAAACTGATGATGAACAAAAACAGATCCAGAGACAAAGAAGCATTGATCAGACCATCAAACCTCAGAGGTAAGGCAGGGGAGAATGGGGGTAAGGGGGAAAGATCAGCCAAAAGACTTGTGTGCATACATATAAGCTGTTTATAAAGTTGGTCATTATGAGTGTGTTTGCGCTGACCATTTGCATTAACACTGAGCACTTGCAATTATCATTACCACTGAGCACTGACTATTTGCATGACCTGTGAGCATTGACAATCTGCGTTATCACTGTGATGCAACCCACCTAGAAACCACCCCAAGCAAGTAACCAACTTCAAAAAAAAGGCTCTCCTAACCTCAAACAAAGGCCGTAGTAACTGCAAAATTAAAAAAAAAAGTAGACCTAACTCCACACACAAAAAAAATCCTAACTTGTTCTTACCTCGGTCCTCAGGCAGCAGCAGGCTCTGCACAGGCAAGTTGGTGACTCATCCGATCACACCCGAGACTGAGAGGAGGAGTCGAGAGACAGAGAGAAGGAGGGGAGTCGGAGAGTGCGGCGCACATTCCACACATGTGCACTGCGGGCCCAGGACGAGTCGGATGCTAAGCAACTGGCAGCGGCGGCAAAAACACCTGGCAGGCAGGATAAATGTTTTCGGCTGGGCCGCATGTGGCCCATGGGCCGTAGTTTGAGGACCCCTGATCTATATAATAAAAGCCTAAGTGACCAGAATGACCGGTCGCTATGATGCGCACTGACCACCAGGGGGCAGATGCTCAATGCAGGAGCTGCACCCTGGTGGTCAGTGCGCTCCCACAGGGGGAGCACAGCTCAGCCAGAAGCCAGGCTCACCGCTGGTGAGTGCAGCAGCAGTGGCAGGAGCCTTTCCTGCATCCATGGCTGCGCTAAGAGCAGGAACCAAGCAGTTAGGAGCAAGGGGTCCCAGATTGCAAGAGGGAAGTCCAACTGCCTACTTAGGCTCGCCCTAAGCCAGCAGGCAGACATCCCCTGAGGGCTCCTGGACTGCAAGAGGGTGCAGGCCAGGCTGAGGGATCCCACTCCAGTGCATGAATTTCATGTACCGGTCTTCTAGTGTATTAAATAATTGTCATAATAGTCTGTCAAAGTACCTAGTCACAACGGCCTACAGTGGAAACCACTTATTATTGGCAATTATAAAAAGAAACAAGAGCAATAAAAGGAAACATACTACTGATACATGCAGCAACATGAATGAACTTCACAAATAGTATGCTGAGTGAAAGACACCGAAGGATACAAAAGAAGTTCATACTGTATGATTCCATTTTTAAAAGTCTAAAATACATAAAACTAAGGAGGGCATGAGGGAACATTCTCCAGGGATGAAAATCTCCTGTTTTCAAAATGATGTGGATTACACTAATGCCTGTATTTTTGAAAACTGATGTAAAGGGACTACTTTAGACCTGAGCATTTCACGGTCTATAAAATTTATTTAGCTTTTTTTTTAAAAAAGACCATCTAAAATTATGATGGTTATCTTTTCATTAATTCTTATATTTTGTGGGTGCCTGCTGAAATATATACAAATGAAAAAGATGTATGTGATTCTTGGAATTTAGTAAAAAATGTAGAGGGGGTAGTGATAAAAATTGGGGAATGGGTGGGTATAAAGATGAAACATGATTAGCCATATGTTTAAAAATGCTGGAAGTTGGGAGACATACACAGGGAGTCTCCATTCTCTCCACTTCTGTATATTTTTTAACATTTTCCATAATAAAAAGTTGAAAAGAGAGGCATCATCAGGGTTCAACGTATTATAAGAGAAAACTGAACAAGAGGACAGAACTTGTTCGAGGTCTCAAAGCCAGACAACAAAGCCACGTTCAAGTTTAACCTTCTTCCTCTGACCCCAATGAAACAAAACGTGAGTCTCTTGGAAAGACTAGTTTTAGAAAGGGCAGGTCCAGAATAGAAGGAATTGTTTAAGCATACATATTCTTATTTCCTGTCCCTGTTGCTTTCAAACAGGTTTTTTAGATTTAAATTGCATATGATTCGAATTTCAGACCCAGGGTCAGAGAAAGCATCCTTCCACCCCCACATAAACACACAAACGAAATAAGAACACAGCGAAGAGTTGGCTTTCTGTCTTCCGGTGCTGAAATCGTCCTCCCAGGCAGAGCAAGCAAAGGCATTCGGTGAGAGGGAGGAGCTTGGTTCCCCGCGCTGTGTGATGGGGAACAGCTGCGTTCCCTCCCGCTCCCAAGGAGGTGAAAACGCGTTAAGCGATGCAATGATCGTCCTGAAACCTGCGCGTGCGTGTGGGTGGGTCTGTGTGAGCGAAGGGGTGGGTGTCAGCTAGCTCCGAGGATCCGAAGTCAGGAAGGTGTGCAGCGTCCCGGTTTCAGAAGGGGCGAAGGGTAATCTGGCTGTGGCGGTTCAGGAGGACACACCCACGCTGGATCTGTCTCCTCCGCGCAGGCACTTGAGCGTGGAAAGTAGTAAATCCCATTTCGAGAACGAAAACCCTAACGACCGCTTGGTTTCGACGGCTGGGGAATATTTATTCCTGGTTCAGCTGATGGGAAAACCTGTGCCTGGCAGCCCCTGATTGGTGGAAAAGAAAATGGTGATAGTGGGGTGGAAAGAGGATTTGACCAGCCTCCTCCTGCCTCCTCAACCTGTAACTCAGCCACCCGCGGGACCCTTCCAGGCTCAGGCCAGGTGAAGAGCAAACGGAAATCTGGTAAATATTTAAGCAAAAGCAGCCTTAACCTTGTGTCCTACGACCATCCATCAGATCTGAGCGACCGGAGGGAAACGTGCTCCAGGTGGTGCGGCTGGGAGCACCTTTCTGAGCCTCCCGCCTCCTCAGCAGCTCCCCAGAGATCGGCTCTACCTTTGGTGGTGGATCCCCAGACCCCGCGCCCCCAGGTTGGCTCTGACGGAGGGGTCCCCGTGAGGGGCCAGAAGGAGAGGCGGAGAGGGGAGGAGGGGGTGGGAGAGAGGGGAAGATGTCAGCCCAATCCTAACCGCTCGGAGAGTCCTCGTGACCCTGAACTTGAGGCGAAGCGCAGCACACCCCCACCTTCTTGCCTGGAGCTGAGGTACAGCCTGCCCCCCAGCCACACCCCGACCCCCATCGGAGGAGCGAAGTGAAGCGCACCCGGCGCGGGAGGCAGCTGGCGCGGGGCGAGGGGCGGGGAGAGGCGCTGACAAATCAGCCGCGGGGGTGGCGAGTGGAGGGGAGGGAGGAGGGAAACGCGGAGCAGCAGGAGGAGGAGGAGGAGGAGGAAGATCCCCACGAGAGAAGGGGACCCAAGAAAGGGAGCGAGCGACCGCGAGCGGCGACGCGGGGAAGGTGAGAGCAGACCCGGGACCGAGCTTGGCCTTTAGCATCCTTCGCTCTCTCCCCGCCTTCCCTCCCGACCCCCGTCTGTTTCTCCGGGACCCTCTCGTGCTGGGGACAGGGAGTGGCAATTCGACGATAGGTTCGTGGGCTCGCCCCCCGCGACCCCAGCCTCTCCACGCTGGGCTGTGCCGCCTCCAGCCCGCTGTGGGGACCACCCCCTCCGGGTGCCGCCTCTGCCCTCCTGGTGCGCTCCGAGGCCCCCCTCTTCCCGTGGAAATCCTATTTGGGGATTGTTAATGTTCTGCAGAGGGGAGGGGGAGTCGGACGCCGGGGCAGCAGAGGGACCGAGGTAAGCCCTGTGCTTCCGAAGGGGCGGCTTGGTGCGTCCTGGCGCACCCTGCCCGGGGGAGAGGCGTCTCCGAGACACCTGGCGGGGGCTGCGCGGCCGGAGGACCCCGGGGAGCCTCTCTCCGAGCGGGGTGCTTTTCCCCGCGCTGAGCCTGCGGAAAGTAAGTTGACCAGCTTTCCTCCCGCTGCCGACATTGCCTTCCTCTCCCAGGCTGAGAGGTCAGGCTTCTCTGAGAGCCAGCTTTTCCTTCGGGAAAGGCGAGGGTGCTGGAGGGAGTGAGAGCATCCAACTTTCTCTCTCGCCTTAACCCCCCCGCTCCTCCCTCTCGGTTCAATCCGAAAACGAGCTGTGTTGGGCAACTAGTTAAATGGAAGTGCAAGCAGGGCAAGTCTGGTGGCTGGTGGGGTGGATTAGAGCCAGTGCGGGTGGGCTCCCAGTTGGCCTGAAGTTCAGCCACACCCAGGGTGCGCAGGTCTCTTCCCTCCCCCTTCCTGGTCTGCCAATTAGATCTCTTCTGGGGTTCATTTTCAGAGAGTCCCTGACCCCACGCCTCCAGCTCCCTTTCTTTCCCTGCGATCTGTCTTCTGAACGTACTTCTAACTCACACTGTCAGCGTTTGGACCCTGGGAAGTCGAGAGGGGGGTCCATCTTTTCCTGCAACTCCACTTGGGAAATGCAGTGAGAACAGCTGAGATGATTCATCCCAAATCCATGTCTAGGCAGCTAGACTTGGACTAGCCAAGATGGATGGGGTATGCTCAATTTTTAATGCAAAAACTAAAAAAAGGCTTTGTCCGATGGTGGAAATAAGGGTGCACTTCAAAGAGCCTCACACTTTTGGGAGTTCTACTGATCTTTCAAGGTGTTTCTAGTTTTGTTTGACCCCAAAGTTCTCATTCAAAATGTATTTTGTGTTATGCAGCGTGGTGTAAAGGAATTCATTAGCCATGGATGCATTCATGAAAGGACTGTCCAAGGCCAAGGAGGGAGTCGTGGCTGCTGCTGAGAAAACCAAACAGGGTGTGGCAGAAGCAGCAGGAAAGACAAGAGAGGGTGTTCTCTATGTAGGTAGGTGAGCCCCGAGTGTCATTTTGATATTTATTTATGACTGATGCATTAGGATGATTGATGCTCTAAATGCTGATATTTCTCCCTTGATTCATTTTTACGTCATCACTTGTCAAAAGGATGGATGGAGTTAGTTATGTGTGGGTAGATAAATGTGTATATTTGAGCTAATAGTAAAAAGTGAGTGTAATCTTTTGTGTGTGTGTTTTTCCCCCCAGATTACTGAATTTTGCAATAATGCCAAGGACTTTTTTTTGTTTCTTTTAAAAAATGTTTTATGTTCATAAATGACTATTTTGGGTTTTTTTTTAAAATCAGTATTTTAATATATGATCAAGAATATTTTTAAGAATCTAAATCATTCCGGGGTTTTTGGTTTCTTTGTCGTTATGAAGAATATTTGCCAATTTTAGAGTATTCTTTTTTTTTAAAGACTTTGATATGGTCCCGGGGTACCTGCCAAGAGACCTGAAAAGGAAAGGACAGAAATGTCTTAGGTGGAGTGATTCCCCGAGATCACTTGACAAGCTGGAGACCAAGAGCTCAAGAAAGTACTTGAGGGCTCCTAGTTACATCTCAGCGACATTTATATAGTTCATTTCTCAAATGATACACAAAATAAGCAATGAGATTGATGCTTATCATCTGTACCTTTCCCTAAATCCCCACCTTGGAGCATTCATGAAGACCTTGACTCTCTTTTTCTTATCTTAAACTATGTTAGATTGAATATTATTTTACAAACTTCAGATTCTTTGGGAAAGAAATAGACACATATATATACACACTTATCCACAGGGACACAAATGCATACATGCACATAAATGCACACATGCACACACTGCCCATTTCACCTCTCCTCTTTCTCCTCTGAGCTCTTCCACAGTCTCTGTTGGGCCCTGTAGCAGCAGTAGCCACAGGATGAGCAGGAAGGTGGGGGATGAGCCTAGTGAGTGGTGTAGGGTTCTGTGCCCATATCTGTGGGGTGAAAGAATGCTACACTGTCTCCAATATGGATGGGCTGGAGAAAAGTTATTCTTAGAATGATTTTTATGGATGTTTCTCATATTATTTTTTTCTCATGGTTTATAGACTCTTTTATATTGGTTGATCTTTACACAAATCTTCCGTTTAATTACTTACATGACCTTAGAACATATTTTCAGGAACTCATTGAATTAAAGTGTTACAAGAGAACAACATTGATAAGTTAACTTCAAGTTTTTTCTTGTGAAGTGTAAATTATGTCCTTTTAGATGGAAGTTGTAATACTGAATAGTGACATGCAGGTAATCAATATCTTTATAGTTGTCCTCAGTTTTCCAAGTCGTGCAACTACGTGCTTACAAATAGGCTTTGATTTCAGTTACATTATAACTTAGTAATTTAAAGTTTCTTTATAATAATAACATTCACTTGATTAGTTTTTGTGGAGAGCGGCTACAGTGCTTAGACAGGTTCAAGCCTCGAACTAATGAGAGGGCACAGTCCTCTCATTGCCACATGCAAGTCCCCACTTATAGCCAACAATTATAGCCAACAGCTATAGTAGTTGTAAGCTTGAACCTATGGTCCAAACACGTGGCCCACGTGTCTGAGAGATGTGGGCTTGATAGAGTTCAGGTGCATGTAATTGAGTAGGATCAAAACCCATGAGAATGTTGTAAACATCTTGACCATGCCCTTACTTTCCCTTGTGGAATCCAGCTATAAAATAAAGGCACGGCTTGTAATCCGTGGCGCTGTCTCTCTCCATCAGAGAGGACAGCGTCCCACCCAGACCCAGCTTTCATTCTCTTGTCTGTCTTTTCTCCATCCTTCACCGCCCCCACTCAAGCTCACCGAACCTGGCTGAGCTGGTGCAGCACACAGGCGCCCAATGTGGGGCTGAGTGTGCCATGGCCGTGCCAGCCCGCCACAAGTTTGTAGTGAATCCAGAAACTATTGAATATTAAATTAATACATTTGCCCTTTTCTAGGTAATGAACAGGTTTTTCTTATCTGGAAAACTTTTTATTTCTTTTCATTGTTATTTATGAGTTTGGATAAATAAAATTTTATTTTCAGAGATTGTTATTCATTCTAAGATTATTATATAAAATTATAATTTGTTTATATGTCATATCTTTAAAAAAATAATCTTCAATGCCCATTATGGTATTTAACATAGAATATGTTCTATAAATTATTTATTAGTTGTCATCTAATTAAAAGTTCAACTCAAACACAGAACTTAGGATGAGAAGTGACTATGAGAAGACATAATGGTATTGCACAACTGTTGGTAAATTTTTTATGTAAAGGTCTAGATAATATCTTTTTAGGCCATAATATCTCTATCCCAACTGCTCAGCTCTGCTGTTGTCATGTGAATGAAGCCTAGACAATACTTAGTGTGACTGTGTTCCAATAAACTTTATTACTACCCAAACTGGTGGTGAGTTAATATAGCTCATAGGCTATAGTTTTCTGACTCCTGGTAAAGTAGAACATAAACTTTATATTAGACAAAATTAAATTCTAGTCCAGACTACACCACTTATTACCTCTAGGGTACTAGGGAAGTTATTTACATTTCTCAGTACCACGTCTCTCATTTGTAAAAATACAATTTAGACAAATGCACCTATCTTGCAGAGTTTTTGTGAGAATGTCATGATAAAACAAAACATATGAGTAACAAAGCATATTTTAAAACATTTAAACACTTTATTATTTAGAGAAGTTATAGGTTCATAGAAAAATTGAGAAAAGGGTACAAAGGTTTCCTATGTACCCCCTAACCCTACCCATACATAGCTTCCCACTTTACCAACATCCCTCACCCGAGTGGTACATTTGTTACAGTCAACGAATTAATTGACAGAGCATTATAACCCAGAGTCCATAGTTTACCTTTCAGTTCATTCTTGGTGTTGTACATTATGTAGGTTTGGGCAAAGGTATAATGACATGTATCTATCATTATAGTATTATACAGAGTAGTTCAATGCCCTACAGATCCTCTGTGCTCTATTTATCCCAGGGCAGAAATTTTAATGAAGCCTAGTTAATTGATTCTTTCATGGATTGTCTCTTCAGTGTTGTATTTAAAAAGTCATTGCCGTACTCAAGGTCATGGAGGTTTTCTCCTATGCTACATTCTTGGAGTTTTATAGTTTTGCATCTTACATTTAGAGCTATAATACCTTTTGAGGGTTTTTATTATTGTTGTTTTGTGAAAGGTGTAAAGTGTCTGTCTAGATTCCTTTTTGTTTTTACATGTAGATTTCCAGTTGTTCCAGGATCATTTGTTGAAAGGATTATTTGTGCTCATTGTATTGCCTTCACGCCTTTGTCAAAAATCAGTTAACTATATTTATGCAGTTCTATTTTGGAGCTGTTTCATTGATCTGTCTATTCTTTTGCCAATACCACTCTCTAGCATTATAGTAAGTCTTAAAGTCAGATAGTGTCAGTCCTCTAACTTTGTTCTTCTCCTTTAATATTGTATTGGCTGTTCTGGACCTTTTGTCTCTCCACATAAACTAGAATCTTTTTGTCAATATCCACATAATAACTTCTTGGGATTTTGATTGAGACTGAACTGAACTATATAGATCAAGTCAAGAACATCTAACATATTGACAGCACTGAATCTTCCTATTGATGACCAAAGAATCTGTATATATACACAAAATGCTAAGCAACCAACCAACCATCCAACCGGCTGGTAGGTATGATGTGCACTGACCACCGGGGGCAGACTCTCAACACAGGCGCTACTGAGCAACAGCAACTTTGCAGAGTGCCCTCTTGCACTCCAGATCCCTCGGGGGATATCAGAGAGCTGGTTTCGGCCCAAACCCTGCAGGCCTGGCCGAGGGACCCCCACCTGCTGGAGGGATCCCACTCACTCCACAGATGCCCTTCTTGCTGTGATGCTGCCCCAGGTGTAGCCAGCCAGGGAGGGACTAAGGGAGGTTGGCTCCAGGGCATGTCCGGCCCGTCTCTCCCAATCCTGCCCTACAGGCCACCTTCTAATTAATTTCCTTTCAATGTGCACGAATCCATGCACCAGGCCAGTAGTATCTCTATATTAATTTAGTTGATTCTGTTAACCAAAACTTATACAGATCTTATATATATTCTGTTAAATGTATACCCAAGAATTTTATCTTTATGGTGCTAATGTAAAAGGAATTGTGTTTTTAATTTCAAATTACTCTTGCTCATTGCTAGTATATAAGAAAGTAATTGACATTTATTTGTTAACCTCATGTGCAACCTTGATAAAATTAATTATTAGTTTTAGGAGTTATTTTTTAAAATTATTCTTTTGGATTTCTACATAGACTATCATGTTATCTGTGAATGAGGATAGTTTTTCTCTTCTTTCACATTCTGTATACTTTTTATTTAGTTTTCTTGTCTTACTGCATTAGCTTGGACTTCCAGCATGATGTTAAAAAGGATTGATGAGAGAGGGATATCTTTGCCTTATTCCTGGAAAGCTCTTAGTAGGAAAGCTCTTTGTCTCTCACCATGAAATATAATGTTAGCTGTAGGTTTCCTATAAATATTCTGTATCAAGTTGAGGAAGTTACCCTCTATTTCTAGTTTACTGGATGTTTTTGTCATGAATTTTATCATATTTTTCATCAATTTTGCATTTTGTCAAATACATTTTTGCATCTATTGATATCATTATGTGATTTGTCTTTTAAACCTGTAGATATGATGAATTACTTTAGTTTTCAAATGTTGAACCAGCCTTGCATACCTGGAATTAATTCCATTAGGTTCTGGTGTTTAATTCTTTTATACAGTGTTGTATTTGATTCACTAATATTTTGTTGAGGATTTTTGTAAAACATACTTTTATATGAAGGAGCCATGGTTATTATCAAATAAGTTCTCCAACAGTATAATTACTTAGTCAACATATATATTTTTATCCTTACAAAACCTATTATCAATTACTAGTTTGGAAAATTGGAAGTGACTAAAGAAAAAATTCTAAATTCACTGTGGCTAAAAAAGTTTTGCACACTTTTCATAAACCTCATGAGAAAGTAAGTAATTTTTTTCCTTTATAGTATTACTAGAGGCCTGGTTCACGACATTCGTGCATTGGGGGCGGGGGGCATCCCTCAGCCCAGCCTGTGCCCTCTCCCAATCGAGGACCCCTCGGGGGATGTCTGCCTGCCAGCTTAGTGCTGTTTCGGAGGTGAGAGAGGCTCCCACCACCACTGCTGCACTTGCCAGCGGTGAGTCCGGCTTCTGGCTGAGCAGCACTCCCCCTGTGGGAATGCACTGAGCAACTTGGGAAGGTGGAGGGGGCAGCTCCTGCATTGAGCATCTGTCCCCTGGTGGTCAGTGCATGTCATAGCGACCAGTCATTCCACCATTCAGTTATTTGCATATTAGCCTTTTATTATATAGGATACTTTTGGGAACTACCTTTTTAAAAAATATTTTTATTGATTTCAAAGAGGAAGGGAGAGAGGGAGAGAGAGAGAAACATCAGTGATAAGTGAGAATCATTGATCAATTATTGGTCCCCTACTGGGGACCAAGTCCACAACCCAGGCATGTCCCCAGGACCCTTCAGTCCACAGGCCAATGCTCTATCCACTG